CTTCCCTGAAGTGTCTCATAACCCTTCCTCATACACCTCACTGTCCTTATCGGGTCTCAGGGCACACTAACTGTGTAGTCTAGGGAAGGGTGGTCTTTCATCTGAATGCTTCCCCAACTAAACCCACTCTCCATTGTTTCTGGAGGGGAGAATGGGAGGCCACCAGAGGTGCCCTGGTGCTCTTCAGAATGCCGTCTAGACTTTTAATTTCCCAAACCTGTTGTCCCACGGGAACACCCACAGCTGCTGTCTTAAAGCTTTTCAGGCCAATGTGATTCAGACTCGAGATTTCATGTCAAGCTCTCTGATGGCCTGATGGGACTCGCACCCTTTATCCAAGGCTGAGGTGACAGGTGGCATCCTACTTCACCCCTTAAGGATGAGGGTTTTCATATCTGAAGGCCAGCATCTTCACCACATCAGTCTCTGCACTAATCCTCCCAGCCCACTCCACTGGCCTCCCTATGGGACAGAGCTCCAGGGTCTGACAATTCCACATAGTGATTTGGGACCTCACTTCCAATCTTGCAAGTATTTCACCAGCATCTCGGCTGAACTGCTTGTCTCTGCTTGCTAGGCATGTATCTCTATAGGAGTGATTTGAATGCTATTCATATGTGGCTTTGAAACTGAATTTATTTAACATTTTAATGTCTTGCCTCCCAATTAGACTGTGAACTGAATTCCTGAGGGCACCTGGGACTAGTCTAGTTCTCCAGGACACTATGCAGAACTATTCCCCTACAACACACTCACTGTCTGCCCCTGTTGCAAATCTTTTTCCTCACTTGGGATTAGGTTTTGCTATGGCAGGTGAGACATGCCCCAAACCAATAATGTCTTACAGATAAAATCTCTCTCATTTAAAAAGAAATCTAAGGGTAGGTGAACTAGGTCCATTTGGATGTTTCCACAGTTTTCAAGGATCCAGGCTCCTTCCAACTTAACACAACCCTACTTCTAGGGTACAGCTGCCTCCACAACCCAGAATGAGCCAGAGCCAGTGGTCAGGCCATCGTAACTGCTCTCTAGGAAGCAGGACAGAGGACAGAAGGGTCTATAAACAAGAAAATTCCCACAATTCTCCATCATTGGCCAGAACTTAAGTCATTATATCAAACCCTCTTTTTGGTGGGTACTTTGTCCCGCTCACTATTGGGCTTCAGAAATTAGATAAGGAGAGGGGCATGAGGAGGAAACTGCCATCTGTGCCTCCATTACATATCAGTATTCTCCTTCTCAGAAGTTCCCATTCCAATATCCTAGCCCATAAACCTATCTCAAACCTAGCACTCTTATTAAAGAAAATGTAACTGGGGAAGCCACATGGCCATGAGATCTCATTTATTGGTCAAAGGATGATAGAACCTTCTAGTTCTGTTCTTTTTTTACAGTGGGAAAACAGAATTAGAGTTGATCTTCAGGGTCCATAAAATCAGCTTCATCTTAAAAGCAGTTCCTCACCATTTCTTTACAAGAGTAGTTAATACAGCTGCTTCATTTATAAGCAGTTATTAACTAACTTTTTAGTATTTTCCTGAAGAATTTCATTTCAGGTGCTATCTATTAAGCTTCTGCCTTTAACCCTCCTTTGACTCTGCCTCCCTCAAAATTTGGACAAACACATCAAGGAAGGGAAAAGAAGCAACATTTGTACTATTTTATTTGTCAGAATTTCCAGAACCAGGGTCTCTACCAGACAAGTAGAAAAATAGAAAAGCTGACTACTTTGCAAAGGCATCTATGACAAACAAGAATACACTCAGAAAGGGGCTCACAGGACTCCGGCAACTGCAGAGTTAAGCCAGGGCAGTGTGGCCTGGAATAGGAGAAAGGAACTTGTGTCCCCACATTTTGAGATGTGCATTTCCCTACAGAGGTGGGCTACAACAGAGGCCTTTCCTGGCCCTACTAGCTGGCCCAGTCTTGGAACCGGAAGCAGTCACTTGCTATCTTCCACACCGTGTTGCTGGGTGAGGCCTGGGCAGTCAGAATGAAGTTTTGGTTAAAGTCCCGTTGTTTGTTGCCTTCAAACTTCACTGTTCCACAGATCACAACAAGGACTGTGGTCTGGCTTGGGGTGGCTTCATCATGGACAGGTTGGCAGTCTACCACGTTGATTTGGAACTCACTGGAAGGTAACATTTCAAAAAACTCACTCAAGGACTCTTGTCCTGACACAGCGTTTCCGTTCCACACCAGGGTGGCCGTGCCCATGTACAGGCGGGACAGCAGGCGCCGTCGTTTGTCCATGGTGGTGTAGTACACATTCACAAACTCCTCAGCAGCTCTGCAGGCCTGATCCACGTAGGTCTTGAAGTCCACTGATGCCATCTCCGCCCCTGATGAAGGAGGCCCAGGTGCTCCTGCGCCTGAGGGAGTGGAGGCTGCGAAGCAGGAAGGTTGAAGAGAACCCATGTGAATGCCCTAGTTCGTTCTGCCCCAACAGTGGAATAATTCTCCTTTTCTACTGGTAGCAAAACAATTACATACTGTAGGGAGATGACTCTAGGCTCAAATTTTGTTGACACCTAATCTTACTAAGCCTCAGTTTGCTCATTTTAAAATGGAAATATCACCATTCATGACACAGTTGTAATGTGAGACTTAAACAAGACAGTGTCCACCAAGTGCTTAATTAAATAGCCTGATACCTACATGTTCAAAAATACGGTAGCTATAACTACAAATTTAAAAATCTCATTTTGTAAAAGACAGTACATTTGACTATGGAAGGTCACTTTTTCCTGGAAGCATGGACCAGGTGTGACTGCCCCTAGAGAAGTGGAGAAACAGACAACAAAGGCAAGAGTGGCCCAATAGAGACCAATCAGATGGCATATGATCCTCAGCTGGTGGCGAGTCTGAGAAAACCTATCATGAGCTCACCCAACAGATACTGGGAGAGCAAAGAGAAGGCAGATTTCTTAAGAGGCTAAGAAAGCAAATGTCACTACTGTCACTAGGACAGTACCAAAATAGTGGTCACAAACCTCATGACAAGCAAACCTGGCAGCTGACTGGGAATAAGAAGGGAGGGCACCTAGCTTCTGTGAGCACAAATACCTACCAGGCAAATCCTGTGAGCCAAAATGAAAGACAAGTTAAAAATGGAAAGGCAGGTTCTGGAGCACCTGGGTGGCTCAGTCTATTAAGCATCCAACTCTTATTTCAGCTCAGGTCATGATCTCAGGGTTGTGAGATCCAGGCTCCCACCTGGCTCTGAGCTCAGCGCAGAGTTGGCTTTTCCCTCTCTCTCTGTCCCCTCCACCCCCAACAAATAAATACAAATCTTAAAAAAAAAAAAAGAATCAAGCAAGTTCTATGGGATAGAAGGTTGGGGTGGTGGCATCAAAAAAAGAATCTCAACTATATCTGAAATGTCACCTTCCATTAAAAAAAAAAGGAAGTCCAAAAGCATAAAGAAATATTATTATTTGTTTGTCTCAGAGTATGGTACAACTGTTACAGTTCTCTGCTCTCTTCTGCGTCATTAAAATATTTCACTAAAAGTGGGGCACCTGGGTGGCTCAGTTGGTTAAGCATCTACCTTCAGCTTGGGTTGCTCTGGTCCAGACCTTCAATGGGCTCCCTGCTCAGCAGGGAGTCTGCTTCTCCCTCTACCCTGCCCCCCTGCTCATGCCCTTTCTCTGTAATAAATAAATCTTTAAAAAAATTTTTAAAAATATTTCACTAAAAGAAAAAAGTTCATGAGAGAACATTACTAAAATAATGGATATGTTTAAATATACAAACTTAAATTTTTTTATTTCTAAGACATTAACCTTTTTTTTAATATCATGTCATGAAATAGATAAAAGATTTCACATAGAGTTGGGAAAGAGTCAAGTACTCCTAAGGGCTGAGCAAGGTGGAGGACACTGCCTCTAGTAAAGAACCATAAAGAGCAGGTAAGGAGCTTGGTCCTAGAAGTAAGCAGTGACAGGACCAGGCACAGACAGAGATCTTTGCACTCCCTTCTCGGAAAGTCAAGCCCCAGCAGACACAGATTCTGTACTGGGTATCTGCTGCTTCTTTACATACAACACACCTCATTAATGGTCACCACAAAAGGATAAAACAATTTTACAAAGGAGAAGGGAGAAACTTAGGGGTTGCATCAAGGTCCTGGCACACTCCTGATGTAGCTTTATGAGAAGGCACCTGGCCTTTGAAAATGTCAGGACTATGTTGTCCTTTTGCTTAACTATCCTTTACCTGCTTATCTTCAGCCTTCACTTGTCCTTTACCTGCACTTAAGAAATAAGTCTCTAAGGGCACCATTCCAGAACTGCTAGTCTGAAGTTGTCCTTTCAGCGGCCTCAATTTCTCTCTTGCTGGAATTCCTGACCACCAGACACCCACATTACTCCTCACCCTCAAGTGCCCCAGTCCCTCTACCATCTCAAGTCATTCTCAGAAACGCCCCCTCCACCACCCCTGCTCAGTTCTGCCAAAGCGACTTTCCAAACACACCTTAGCAACCTGTCCTGGCCCCATACCAGTAGGATAAACACCTTCTTGTCTTGTGGTTCTGCTACCTACCAGGCTGAAAGCTTGCCCTTCTCTACTTAATCAGGGATAAGAATCATGAAAAGTGAGATAAGCATGAGGCTGTGAACATGCCGCCTTCTCTCGGAAGCCCACACCATCAGGTTCTCTGGAGCTGGACCAGAGAAGATGCAACAGGCCTCATTTCTGGCGGTGAGTCGCTTTTCATCCACGCAAAAAACAAAGACAGCCCGCCCTGGCCATCTCTGGGTCGAGACCTCCAGAGCCCCGACTCTTCATCGCCAAGAGGATTTATTGCCAAGCACGTCGCAAGGGCAAAAACCTGAAGCAGCACTGCAACGACACCACGAGGGAAAAGACAAAACCCGGCTGATTCCTGACAATGGGGAGAGAGCGTGGGGGTGCACGTGGCAGATGTCTCGCGAGTCCCTGGGCCGACCCTGGGGTCTTCAGACTGCCGGCCGCGGGGGACGGTGGCGGACACCTACCTTCGCGGCTCGTGACGTCCGGGGTCAGCGCGGGCGGAGGTGGTGTCCACGGTCAGCGGGGGGGCGGTAACCCCGGTAGGCGGGGGTCGGCGACCTCGGCCAACGTGGGCGGCTCGAGTCAGCGCGGGCGACCCTGGTTAGCTGGGCGAGGCCCTCGGCTCGCTCGGGCGTCTCCCGGTCACCGTGGGCGGCGGCACCCGACCCCCGCGCGACACCCAGCTCCACGGAGGGCCGGCCCCCGAAGGTCGCGGGGCGGGCTCGCCTATGATCCGCGCTCCTCCGCGCTCGCCTCAGGAGGAACCGGAAGAGCCGCCCTTCTCCCACCCTTCCTCCCGGATCCGCCCGGTCGCGGAGATGCCTGAGCCCGGGAACCTGTCCGCGCTGTCCGCGGCTTCCCGCGCGCGGCCTGCCATGCGCTGCGCAGACGCCAGAGCCCACGGCTCCACCCACGCCCGCCTCCCATGACGGGCAGCTGTGCCAGCCAGCGGGACGGAAGACCGGGAGGCTAGCTCCGCCCAGTTGTGGCTCAAGAGAGGAGGTCGCTTCCGGGAGAGGCACTTTCCCAGAAGACCGCAGGAAAAATCAGCGGTCGAGTTTTCATTGGCTTAACCGGTCATAGAAACCGGTCCAACTGGTCAGGTGCGATTCTTGATTGGATGAAATCTCCTAGGTCCCGCCCCCGGAGCTAGAGACGCGCGAATCTCTCCCAGCTGAGTGGAGGCCCGCTTGACGGGAGAGGATGGGGAAAGTGTGGGAGGCGGGATTAGATCCTTGCCCTACGACCTCCTTTCACCTGCAGTTGGGGTAATTCTAGTTAAAATTCTAGTTAAAAGACGACTTGATGCAACCTCGGGAAACCACCACCAGCAGCAGTGACCCAACTAAGGTTTTTACACAGACGTAGTAAGTGTGGCGCCAGAATGTCCCGCGGCGGCCGAGCAGGTGAAGCCGGCAGGGCCCTTGTTAACTCTGCCTGACGAAGTATATTAGCAGGTTACTCTCCTGGATAGTTTAAGTCCCTCCGGACTTAGGAGTTGACATCCTAAAGGACATATGGAAGAAAACCCATTTTAGTTAAGTGAGAAACTCAGCTGGAAGCAAGAGAGGAGTCCAGGGTGGGAGGAGTCTAAGTTTGGGAAGCAACCGAAGTGTGCCAGAAAAGGAAACAAAGGCAGCTTCCTCCCTCGTCCTGGGAATTGAGGAGCTCCGAGGCTCCAGCTGTGGCCTGGGTGGTACTGTGCTTTTATTCTCCAGTCCTGAAACTAGCTGCATTTCAGCAAATCTGGAACCCGAACTTTTCTTTAAAACGATAGACTCAACAGGATAGAAACAGTGTGGGGCTTGGGAAACAGTAAAAACAACAACAACAACAACAACAACAAAAAAAAACTTTCTTCAAATACAAGATCCTCAACTCCATCCACTGGTCTAAGAGACTGAGTAATTCCTTCAAAACTGGGAGCCCTCTAAGCATGATGAATTTACTGATGTTGCCATATCTTTGGAGTATAGTGCATTTAACTTACACCATCTTGGCTACCCTTTGGTGTACCTTTGCTTGCATTCCTGAGAACCCTTGCTCTCAGATTTCATGACACATTTAGAAACTGGATGGGCTATTTCATGTAGGCAAACCACCTCCTCCACTTAAATCAAGTAGGTGAAGAATTTGGACTATAATAAAATAAGGTGGGGCTGACTAGAGAGGGTGAAATAGCATCTTTGGAGCCGTATTCACACAGACATGTCTTTATAAAGCCTGGGACAGTGAAATTAGGATTTAATGTACAAAAGTCCAAATCATCACTTCAATGGAATGAGGGTTGACTTGCTGCCTGTGTGGTAGGTTGGAGGCTGTGATGCTTCAGGTCTCATCATGTTTCCCATGTAAGTATTTTTTGTTTCATTCTTGTAACTTTGGGGGAGGTATTGTTATTTCTGATTTTATAGATGAGGAGGCTGAAAGACGTTAAGTGCCACAAAGCTGCTTCAAAAGTAGAAAAGCAGGTTAAGAACACAAGTCCAGCTCCGAAGCCTTGTAAAAGCACAGGGCTTTAGCCCTGAGAGGGAGTAGAGCCAGCACCAGCAACCGTAGGGTAGGAGGGCAGGAACCTTCCAGGTTTGTGTCTCCAGCATCTAGAATTGTGCCTGACCCCCAACAAGGTCTCAGTCAGTGCTGTTTGAATGAACAGGCAGGCTGGGGTTCAAGTCATTGCTCCACAACATTCTAGTTATGATGAGTCCTCGCTAACAACCATTCACTAGCAGAGTGATAGTGGCAGGCGAGTTAACCTCCCAGAGGCTCAGCTCCCTCATCAGTAGAAGCGGAACAGTAGCAATATTCCTTTCCTCGGGTTGATATGAGGAACAAATGAAACAAGGCCTGGTAAGTGCTTAACACAGGCCAAGCCCAAAGGAAGCATCCAGAAGACTTTAGTCTTGATGTTTTGCATTGGCAGCAACTTCCTTATTGGCCAACAATTCCTCCCAACAGCAGGCTTTTAAACTTGGGGGACATCTGGTCACCCAGGCTGAGCCTCTGTTAGCTCTGAAGACAGACTTATGGACGTCTAGGTCCGCAAACACAGGATTGAGATTTTCCCCATCACCAGCATAGCTCTCTGGTGCAGGATCTAACAGCATTTGTTCACCATGGGAGGCTGCTTCACTTGTCGCCAGGCAATTTACAGCAGAGGCTGGGCAGTTGTGCCCACAGTGTATTGTCACCAAAAACAAACGTGTGTGGTTTTTCTCCCCCTGTCTTAGCAGAATCGAATGAGCTGCTGCTGGACCAGAGTGAACTGGGGCTATATTTCTGGGTCACTTGAGGCCCTGAGTTTGCGAAGATTCTGGGAAGGCAGGAAGAACTGCCCATATGCTTAGGAGCTGAGGTGTGGCCTTGAGCAGAGAATAAATTAAGGAGATGTGGAGAACTATGTCGCCAGAGAGAAAGAGAGGGAAACAGTGTGAGCTAGTTTACATACACACACACACACACACCCCTCTCATACTTACACATACACACTCACAAGCTGTGGAGAGCAGATCCCTAGATTCCAGGTAGTTTTTCTTCCTTATTGTGACAGATTATGTTTTCCAAAAATGCCCACAAAAATATTTTAGTCCCACATCTTGTCTGGAACCTTGCTTGCTACACTGCCCTCCACTCAGGCAGGCTCCTGTGAGTGTGTAACTTCTGAAATACAGCCTCTGCCAGGTTTTCTTGGTACTCGTGCTGTGTGTAGCCCAGGCCACATGGGCAGACCCGTGTGTGGAGGGGAACCCTGGCAGCCAGAAGTCCTTTGAGTGGATGGCCTTGGAAATGGACCCTCTGGTCCTGGGTTGGGCTACCTGGGGCCGGGGTGGCAGGGGGGCAGAAATGAGGCTTCCTGGCCAAGCCCAAATAGCAGATTTGTGAGCAAAATAAATGATTGTTGCCCTGTTAAGCCACCAGGGTTCATGGCCGTCTGTTACAAAGCAAGAGAGCCAGGGCTCTTTCTCACCATCATCCCCAAGTCTTGCTAAGGCCCTGCTCCAAGGCTTTAGGAGAAAGTCTCAAGTGACAATACCTCCCCTTTAAACTGACATTTGTATGAATCAGGTTTGTCACCTGCTGCCAAAGGAACCTTGAAGATGGGGCCCCAAGAGGCCTTATAAGGCAATACCACCTCAGGGAACTCACCACTGTCTGGAGGGTGGCTCTCTCCTGAGCTCTGAGAATTAGTCAAGACTGTACTTTTGAGAAAGGTATCAGTTTGTTATCTACAGCCAGAACCAGCTTCCCAGGCACTAGCATATGCCCCTTTGCAAGACAAGCATGTTCTCTGTGAGCAGGTGAGAGGGAGCCCCAGCAGCACGAGTAGGTGACCCCAGGAGCGTGGGTCAGAACAAGGAGAGGCAGTGATTGCATGATCCCTGCAGCCAATGGGCTATGGAGCTGACCGGGCCGAAGGGCCTGTGTTTCCAGGAAGAGAAGTGTCCCTGGTGGGGACCAGACACTGAGTTCATGAGCAGAGCTCTCTCCTACCAGCACCACCTATGCTTACCCCTCTTTTTGTGAGTTTCAGTACTCAGCTGGCAAATACTTCAAGCTGTTCTCTGACCTCATAGCAGGGGGGCTGGAAGCCTCCGTTCTCTTAAAGATGACATTTCATTTGTCTGCTCCAGTTGGTGTTTCACTCACTTTTAACCCTGAGGGGATGGTCTTAGTTTTCTGTGTCTAAGTAGGCTCATGAATTAATGTATATGAAGTGGCTGGTGGGCAGATGTCTTGGTTTGGATTGCTTCTCCAAGAGGCGGAAGTCACTGATTTGGGAGGTGCGGGAGCACCAGTAGGGGAGCGGAGAATTGAGAAAAAATAGATATAGTATTGTGATTTATAATAAGAAATATATATTTGGTCTTCTGTTCCTAGCACAGAGCTCCTAAAGCAGTCAAAATTTCCTAAGTGTTGAGAGCCATAAAAGTGTTGATTAAAGCCTTTTTGTTATGTTAATGAGGTATTTTTTGGGAAAGTCCTTGGATCTCTGAAGATGGGGGCTGTTTGCCAGGGGAACCAACCTTGTGATTAGAGGGTTGGAACTGTCAGTCCCACCCCTCAACCATCTAGGAGGGTAGAGGGCCTGAAGATTGAATTTTAATCACCTCTGACCAATAATGTAATCAATCATGCTTGTGTAATGAAGCCTCCTAAAAGCCCAAAAGGATGGGGTGCAGAAAGCTTCTAAGTTGGTGAAAACGGAGATTTGAAGAGAGTGGCGTGCCTGGAGAGAACAGGGAAGCTCTGCATCCTCTCCATCCCTGCCCTGTGCCTCTGTTCTGTGTGATTATTCCTGAGTTATATCCTTTTATGACAAACCAGCATCTAGTAAGTAAAATGTATCTCCAAGTTCCGTGAGTCATTCTAGCAAATTAATTGAACCCAAGGAGGGGAGCACATGGGAACTTCTGATTTATAGCCAGTAGATCAGAAATATGTGACAACCTGGACTTGCAAGTGACACCTGCAATGTGTGCAGGGGGCGGTCTTGCAGGACTCAGCCCTTCCTC